ATTTGAATTAAAAGAAAAATCCCTGCACACAGTGTTCACTACTTGGGTATGGTGTGTCTGTTTCACATAGACATAAGAAGAATAATTGATTTTACACAGCATCCTTAAAAATAAGTAGCCATCAGACTCCTCAACTAAACTTAACTAGGTTCAAATTTCTTGCTTTTAACTCTTTATCTTATGGGTGTTTTTTTTTTTTTATAGGACAAGTGCTCCAATTTGTTAGTGTTACCTAAATAATGAATCTAATACCATACATAATATGTCAATCATGTGATTGGTACACAGTAGACTTCTATCGATTGCACTAGCCTCCCTTTCCTTTCTTTTCCTCCTTCTCTCCCTTCCTTTTATAATAGTTTCCTTTATCCACAGTCACGTGTGTGTGTTTTTTAAATTTCTTTATTGATTAAGGTGTTATATATGTGTCCTTATTTCCCCATTATCCCTCTATCCCCCCCACTCATGCCCTCACCTCCTGTTGTCTGTGTTCATTGGTTAGGCTTATATGCATGCATACAAGTGCTTTTGTTGATCTATTCCCCTTACCCCCACCCTCCCCTGCCTTCCCTCTGAGGTTTGATGGTCTGATCAATGTTTCTCTGTCTCTGGATTTGTTTTTGTTCATCAGTTTATGTTGTTCATTGCTTTTTTGTTGTTGTTTTTTGGCTTCATAGTATATGTAATCTGAGAGTTGTGCTGGTTTAGACTGAATACTCTGGGCATAGAATACGTGGATTTGAGTCTTGAATTCAAAATCAGCAAGGTGATCTTTAGTGAATTTCTAAAAAACGTTGTGCTCTGTGTTCCCATCTGTAAAATGGGGAGAATGACAGTATGTCGGCTTCATTCTTCCTTCATATTTGATTGGTAACTTTGCTAAGTATAACTTTCAAGGCTGAACATTTGCCTTTAGATTTTTAGAGACATCTCCCCTGAGTCTTCTGGTATTGCTGAGAGACATCTCATAGCTCTCTAATTCTTTTTCCTTGATTGTGATCTTCTCCATCACTATTTTCTATCCCTAAAAACTCAGAATTTCCTGTTTATCTTATTTTGACTACAATCTGTTTTCTTTTGATGCCATAAGTCTAGGTTTTTGCAGTGAGTATAAGCTAGCTCTCTCTCTCTCTCTCTCTCTCTCTCTCTCTCTCTCTCTCTCTCTCTCTCTCCTTCTCCCTGTCACACATGAACTAAACTCATATCTACTTCATTCACCACTGTAAACCTAGCATGATGCAGATTTTCAATAAATATTTGTTGTAAAAGAATGAAAGATCTATTTAAAATCCAAAAGATATTAATGTACAAGAATCCAAGGACTTCACTTTATTGCACTTAAACCACTGTAACTAGGATAAATAATACTAGAATCAATGTGACTCTACAGAGTATCTGCTATTATGTTTTTTCAGTTAACATTTTCAGTGTTATGTTCTTTCCACATATGTTTTATCTTGGTCTTGAAACAATTTGGAAAGATATATGTCATTTTATTTTTCACAAATGAGGACTCTCTGCCTCAAAGATTGGCCTGAAATCACCCTAGTGGGAAATGGTAGAGCTGAAACCAGAATTTATATTTGATTGGAAAGTCCAGGGTTCTTTACTGGTACCATGCATATACTGAGTTATTCTTCTGAAGCCAGGACGTTCCATTTATGTCCACTTTGTCCTTTTCCCCCACAGTAGTGATTTGTGATATTTTGATAATATTGTCAATTTTTCAGTTTTCCACCCTGCTATTTTCTCACTCCTTTCAGACTCCACCTTCACATAGTGTTTTCTTAGACAAGTTTCAACCACCTTTATATAAGTGTACAATGTTACATTAATCTTCTCAATATTTGAATGAAAGGTCAAACAGTTTCTTTCATTAGTTAGTCAAGTGTGTCTCATTGTATAAAATAAAACAAAATGATGGCATGCCCAACAGACTCTATACATAGGTGATTTATCAACTATAGCATTTGAATTTTAGCTTCAAAAATCTTTTTCTCAGTCTTTTGAAAATTTAATTATCATGAAACATCATAGTTTTTTTGCCCTCAAGTTTGAGTGGTTATCATTAGTATCAGAAAATGAAGCAAATAATCTAGATGACTATGAAAAAATTCATTGACAATCATCTCCATGTATTTAGTCTATATACTATATGACTAAAATTACTTTGAAATTATATATGTTCTAAAGTGAGTGTATATGAATATTTTTATTTGGGCAACTGAATGCTACATTGTATATAATTGATTAATAAAATTGTCTTAAAAAATAAAAATAACCTGTTATTTTCCTTGCACTCTCTCAAATATAGCTTCTTGGTAAAAGCTTACAATAAATTATTTCTTAAAACAGCTGATATATCAAAATACTTCTCAACTCTTTTAACAATCTGATTATAAATAGAATATTCCCAACATTAAAAATAAGTTAAATCAAGCTTAAGAGATTTTAAGCAACTTGTCAAGATGCCTTATAGTCTCATGGAGAATGAAACATAGGAACCATAACTATAGCTTCAGTTACAGCAATGAGACAGGTTTTCATAGTTCGGAAATATGAAAATCAATATACTGTCCCTCCTTTGTGCTCTTAATAGAAACTAACAAGGAAATAAGCTCTTGTCTCTGCTAAGATATAAGAAATAACAGGCCCTAATTTGGTAAATCTCAAAATAGATGACTTTGATGATTTATTTTAGAAACCAGCATAAGACACAAAAATTCTTACACCCAGAACCACCTATGGTTAGTTTTGAAAAGGCTTCTCAAAAGACAAAGAAAAGGAGAAAATGCATAAATGTAACTGGTTTGTATACGATTACATCAATTATCTCCAACTAAATATTATAAAGATGAAAAGTTCACCACACCGTAACTACTTTTTAAAACATGAAGACATGAACTCTCATAATTGAGGCCCTACGAGTTCATTATAACAACAAAATATAGTTTTATTTTTAGAACATTTGTCCACTGGCTAGAATAATTCAAATGATCTAGAGTACTAGGATAAAATGAGTCATTTTTAGATTTGAACAGCATAACACCTCTATCTGACTCACTAATGCAGATGGTATGAACAGCATAGGGAATTTCCCACTACAACTCCCTTTTTAAAAAGTACTGAGAAAAAGACAGTGAAACAACTATTGAGTTATTTTTATGTTTCAGCTCAAATCTTGGACATATTGCATGTGAAAAGTTAAGCAACCATAAACCATCTACTCCTGCCCTTCGTTTCCTAGATGAAGAAACTCTCCAGAGGTTAAGGAGTCTTGGCACATAAAATCTTGTCTCTAGGCTGCCAGAACCCATCTCTGTCCACTGCAACACACAACTTTTTAACAACTCCCAACTTTCTAAATTATGAGCAGCCAGAAGAGAATTCTGGGGCCAATTATGATGATCACCACATAAGTATTCTCAAACACAAAATTACTGTTTAAAACAACACATCTCTTTATGCCTTTAAGTGAGCACTTGCCTGATAGGGTGTAAGGAAAACTTGCATTTCTAATAATAAAGGAGCACACAGGTTGTTATTTCAGAAAACCACTGGCTAAATCTGCTTTTATTTTTGAGAACACAGATTCATTTGTAATATTGTGCGTGAGAGCCCTGACACCTATTTTATAAAAATATTTTCTGTGATTGTCCAATAATATATTCAAAGCAATAAGTCATAATGACAAAACTTACATACAAGGAATAATTAATCAACAAGTACATTTGTGTCCATGCAAAATATTTTAATTTCTAAAGAAAAAAGTATAAACTAAAACAAAACTCAAAACAGCATTGAGTGTCAAACATTTTCTGGCATGTCTAGTATTATTTAGCATAATTCAATCCATTCTGTATTTTCAGAGAGAAAATAGTTATTCTATCTGATGGTATTGACAAAACTATTCACTGTTGGTATATACTAAAATTAATCATAATAATAATTCATTTTAGCAATGATGCAAGTAGTCATAAAGGCATGTTTTTATCTGCATAGCAATTGTGTTTTATTCTTGAGGGTCACATCATACAACAATATAATTTTAAATGTAGATTTATATAAAACAAAATTACACAGCATACTCATACTTGGACTACTCTGTATGTCCAAGACCTTTATAGGATCTATGTCCTAATCTATATATTTTAACTTCATGCATCAGCTACTCCTATAGCTAGATACAATATCTCAGCAGTTTAATTTTTTTTCCCCCAGAATGATTTAAAAGTTTTATTGAAAGGTATTGCAACCCAAGCAGACCTATTAAATTGGAGGCTTGGGGTTGATATTCTCAGTCTCTCTCTGTCTTTCACACACACACACACACACACACAAATACACAGCCAGAACATCATTTATATCAGCAAACAATTTTTATTTTCATGTAGACATCCAATTAAAATAAAAATCTTTGTAATCTAGTTGAATAAAATATGCATATTTATTTCTAACATAAATATAACACATGACCCTGGTGGATTTTAGCTATATTTATTTATTTTGATGTAAAGCCCTCCCCCCCCCATAGCAAAAAAAAAAAAAAAAAAAGAGGGAGGGGTAAGGAAAACAAAAACATTTGTATATAGAAAAGCATCATACATACCATGCTATGAAACTCCTCAGTTTCTAAAATAACCATATCTATAAAATGCGGAATCATTAGAAAGTTCATCAGTGTCCTTTTTTTCACTACATTTAGCAGGAAACCCATTTCTCCTCCTCCTCCCCATCCCAGTAACTGAGTCTCGACTAGTTTTGACCACGTTTCCAATCCAAAACAACCGGATTTCCCTCCATGCTCCACACACAGGTTCATGTCCTTCTAATCTGAAAATGGGTAGACCTAACCAGAAAAGAAAAGGATGGTAAAATACTGCACAGGTGCCTAGGGAAACGCCAATGACTTAGACTGTGTTTGGGGAAAGAAAGAAAAAAGCAAGAGAGAGGGGAGCAGGCGCGAAAGAATAGTTCTCTCAGTCCTTGCATTCACTCACCAGTTTCCCAGATGCAGGGTCAGCAGCAAGAACATCAGCCTCACGCCTCTACTTGGACTCCACAGAAGGAAAGGAGAGAAGAGGAAAGCTTTCCAAGAACCCATCAGAATCGCTGTTTCTCCCGCTCAGCCTTCTTCCAGCCGGGACTTTCGCTCCCACCTTAGCCGCAGCCCAGGGCAGGAGCACCAGAAGGCAAAGTGTGGGAAGGCGCTACACCTCCCCGCCAGGTAGGATGCGACTCCCCGCGGAATGGAGCCGGGCAGCCAATCGCACCGAGAGGATGCTGGCATAAATTATCTGCAGAGCGTGCGGGCCAATCAGCGGCCCCGGGAGGCGGGCCTCCCTCTACTAGAAACCGAGCCCAGTGGGGAAAAGGGCTCCGTCTTCCTAAAAGAAAAACAAACCTCCCCTCCCTCCTCGCAGCCCTGGAAGAGGCATCGGAGTGGCCCCAGACAGATTTCCTCCCGGGGGGAAGGAGGGGTCCCTCTCCCTCCCTGCTGCCTCCTTCCTCTCCCGCGGCTGGATCCGGAATTTGTCTTCCGAGACCCGTGGGAAGATTGCAGAAAACCCCAATCGGTTTCCCCCCGGGCTCGCGAAGGTTTTGATAATTGCTGTTCATTATCCTTCCTTTGGGAGTGTAGGATGGGGTCTCCCTTTTGGAAGCAGCCCCAACGCCTAGCACAATGCCCGGCACACAGGAGTCCCTAAAATTCCGAATGAATGAATGAATGAATGAATGAATGGACGGGCTTGCTCAGGGCAACCCTGGTGATCGCGTTTCCTAACGCCTGTCCCTCTTCTTTAGGAGGGAGATGATTTGCATGCTCCTCTCCTCAGAGCACCAGACGAGGATACTAATGAATAATGCCAGGCACGAACTATCTCGTTTTATACTAAAAAAAAAAAAAAAAAAAAAAAAAGTAAACAAAAACCCGGTTTGGGAAAAGGTCCCAGGAGCCACAGGAGTGATAGACCTCGTGCGTGGGTAACGTCGTTCTCTAGTCCCTCCCCAGTTGCCTTTGCATCGGTGGAGCTCCCGTGTTTGGTACCCAACTTCAGAGGCTCTGCTTCGAGTTCGCAGCAGAGCTCAACAGTTGCCAGGGCAACCGGAAAGCCTCTGGCAGCCTGAACCACTGTACAGGCGAAGGCAGCGACGGTGGTGGAAGCAGGCTCGCTGCCCAGCCATTTCTGCTTTTATGGCTTCCTAAATCCCTGCTTTCCCACACAGGGCAGCTCGGGGTTGGGTCTTTGATGGCCTCGTTAATCACCAGGCGACCACGTGGAGCTGGCCAGATTCAGGGGTGAGCTACCATTCACCGCATAGTTACCCGAGAGCGCATTTGTCTCCCCGCCGCACGCAGTGCAAGGCAGAAGAAACAGTGTCTGCCCAAGCTTCGGAAATCACTTCCCTGGTTTGGCGGCAGCGACGTTACAGATATGTTCTCGCCCAGGATAACAGATGGTGCAATGCTGGGCTTTTCCTCCCTCTCTTTGATTGATTCTCCATCTTTTCATTCTCCTCTGAAAATAGGTATTGACTCCCCTCTGATTCTCCCACTAAACGTTAATTAGGCAGCATTATTCTCTTCCAGAAAGCGCTTTAGTCAAGGCAGCGAATACCAGATAATTTATATAAGCAATAAAGTTCCATTATCATTGATTTTGGGGTGAATGAATCAGTTAAAGGCGATGCCAATAGAAATTTGTGTTGTTTTTCTTTCTATGTTTCCTGCTTCCATTAAGAATGCGCTTTGGGTAGCTAGTGCCACTGTTTTTATTGGATGCACACACTAATTCACTGAGCTGAGTAACCTGGTGAACTAGGAATTAATTCACTAAAAGTACGTAGGGAATAACAATATTTAGTTAGTCTTAGTGTTTTGATAAATTTTTGCATATATTAATGGGAAGATGATAGTGCATAATGTTGCACAATAATAATAATGGTTCCTCCATCAAAAATATGTACAAAGGTTTTACCCTGATGGTTTTATTTTATTTTACTATTTTAAAAAAATATTTTATTGATTTTTTTTTACAGAGAAGAAGAGGGAGGGATAGAGAGTTAGAAATATTGATGAGAGAGAATCACCAATCAGCTCCCTCTTGCACAACCCCTACTGGGGATGTGCTCGCAGCCGAGGTACATGCCCTAGACAGGAATCGAACCCGGGACCTTTCAGTCCGCAGGCTATCCACTGAGCCAAACCAGTTTCAGCTACTCTGATTGTTTTTATATGTAACTGAAAGATATTGAGAATAGTTAAGAGAAGTTAATAGAGGAGAAAAGTGAAGGATATACACCCTTCAGTAGTTACATGTTGCCTCCTTATTCATATAAATGATAAAGAACTAGAGCAATTTTCAGCCGAGACTGGTTTGGCTCTGTGGATAGAGTGTCAGCATGCTGATTGAAAGGTCCTGGGTTCGATTCCGGTCAAGGGTATGTACCTTGGTTGCAGGCACATCCCCAGTAGAGGTAGTGCAAGAGGTAGCTGATCCATAACTCACTTTCATCGATGTTTCTAACTCTCTATCCTTCTCTGTAAAAAAATCAATAAAATATATTATTAAAAAAAAAGAAAGAAAGAACTAGAGTAATTTTCAGACTGGGAAATTTCCTGTATTTTTCAAAATCTAGTTGTTGGCCAATTTTGTGCTGAACCTTTTCAGGTTTATTTCATTCCTTTCTTTCAAGCACTTTTACCTGGCTCTTTCTTTCTATGTCTCCTCTTTGATTTTTCTTTTCTTTTTTTACAATATGTGTCTCCTGGGAAGCTGATCTTATCTGCTGTCACAGTTAGTTACAATTCCCTGCAAACTGTGTAAAAGGACCTGAGTCCTGGAGAACCTAAAGAAGGAATGATGATTTGGGGTCTCAGTCAGGTGTCTTGATCCTGACCATATGTATCATTCAATGTAATAAATCAGCTGTGTGGGGGTAGAGGGAGAAGGATGACATATATTATGAGTTCTGAAGAAAGCTAAGAAGGTACACTGTACTCTTCAAACAAACCATACTGTCTCATAAAGGGAACACTAACCAGAAACATCACGTGTCTTACACGATTCTAGATTAGAGGGCCAATGGCTGCTTATAAGTAAGGGAATGAACGAAATCCTCTCTCTTCCATTGTGGTAGAGGATTCCAACTACAGGTAATTTGACAATATCTATCAATGCCAAAGATATGTTCAGTTGTCACATCTTGGGAGGTGGGCTAATCTACTGGCGCCTAGAGGGTAGAGTCCGGAGTTCCTGCCTCACAAACAAAAATGCAAAAGCAAGCCTTCACCCAACAAAGTATTATAAGGTTCAAACTTTCAACAGTACCAACGTTGAGAAGCCTTGCAATACGGATGGGTAGCCAGATTTCAATGCAGCTGAAGATTTCCTTACATTGTCACTGAAGTCACCATTGCCCTTCTCCTTCCTTTGAAAGACTGGGCCATAACCATTATCTGGTAGTTATATATTTAGCTGTAATTATTATCAAATCATAGTGAGCAATAATAGTCATCTTTTTTCTGCAAAATTTGTACAAGTATTACCTTAAAACAAAGTACTTGGGGTACCTATTAAAAATGCAAAGTAATGAACTTCTCTCCAGATCCAAAAAAATATATAATTTTTAGTAATTATAACTTTGGAGATTATCATGGCTCAGAAAGTTTGAGAAATGTTGTTCTATAAATGTCTTACAAAATGATGAGTGAGGCCGTGACCCTATCTTTGAATGCACTTTCCTGGCCCTAGCAAAGTTGGACTTTGGCATCATTCATCCATACATTGTTAATTTATTCATCCAAAATATTAATTAAGAAACTCTGTGCCTGATATTAGAAATACAATGGTGAGCAATATTTACCTCATTGTGCCTCAGTTTCTTCATGAATAAGAGGGAGATGAAATTCTATTTAGCTACTAGAGTTGTTTGAAAGATTAACTGGATTCATACAAGGTGGATCACTTAAAATAGTACATATATAATAGAAATTCCTCAAAAAAAGGTTAGTTGCCATTGTTATTAACTCATTGAGAGAAGGTTTCAAATCTAATTTATTCACTCTAACCCTTAGTACAATATTTGGAACAGAATAGTGAGAATGCACAGTCTAATAGGGAAGATGGAGGGGATCAGGAAGATGCCCTTATCTTTTCTTCATCTGTTTAGATTCTCTTCATTCTTCCTGATTAAGTTTAGGTGTCACTTTATTTTTTCCTTTATTGATTGTTCACTTCATGCTAGCCTGTGGTACAGGTCTGTCTATTAATAATAATTGATATTTATTGTGTTCTTAATGGTTTCAAATCACAGGTACATATAGTTCTATTTTCACCTATAACTGCCACTTCATATTTATATCATAGAATATACCATTTTTGAAATGATCTATATTTCTTCTCAAACTGTAAGTTATGTGTTTTCAAATTTTATACCCTAAACACATGAATGTATTTAATTACTGTATATATTTCTGTAGCCATTAAGGGATCTCTTTTACTAGCATAGGTCTCAAAGGCTCATATCTAAATAGACAAATGTCAGATCTTGTTGCTTGATTTATTCCTTCCCAACAGAACATGGGAATCAATCATTTTTTTTCCCCAATTTACAGGTTGCCACGATCAAAACTTTAAAAACCCAGGCACCTTAGTTTATGCAATCAAATTATTATTTAATATAAACAGAAGAAAAAGCCAGCACAGAGATTTCAAGACTGAAGGCACATCCATTTCTTTGTTCTTCTGCTCAGTCTCAATCTTGTATGTGGTCCCTAGCGTGCAGCCAATAAAGGGAGTTCAGAAGCTGGTCCTTGGTGGCAGGTAGCAATGGATCTATCTATAGCTTCTAACCTTAAGTCTAACCCTTTGTTGTTGTTTGTTTCTGTATTATACTTTCTGAACCTGAGTGTTTGCCGCTTGTTCTCTTCATTCTTTTGTATACCTTCCATAGTTTCCTTTTTTACACCAGCATGTAAGTGTGCTCATGCATAACATTAAAATATACATAGATATTGTATTAACCTTCTTTCTTCCATGCCTATCATGTACTCTCATTAATAGTAGTCTTTCTCTACTTGTTCACCAACTAAACACTCAT